TTTAAAATTTCGAACGACAAAAGCCATAGATAAATGTTCGAAATTAAAAAATGTGAGATATCCATTGTCTCGGAAAAGATTCAGGGTTTCCAAAAATGTGAATTGTTTTAAAATAGGTAAAGAATAGGCGAAACCACGGCCGATTTAGCCAAAGTCAACTAAGAGTTGCACCCCTTCCCACAATAAATCCCATAATTCTTGCATTGATATAAACAAACCTGAATCGTGACGACGAATTCGGATTAATTTTAAAAGCATAGATATGGCCCATGAAGAGAGAAATTTTACAAAAAGAATTGAGTGTTAGATATTGAACTGGGATGCAATCAAATGGATTTTTTGAAATGACATTCTTAAATTAATTTCGTGGGCGTAAACATCTGGTTTTAAGAGGAGTTACCTCCCTTGGATAATGTAAAAGACCGGATTATCTAGCCAATTTTTCTCAAATATTGACAACGGATCCAGACTAATATTCGTAGAATATTTTTCTGGATGATAGAGACTAATAATTAGTAGCCGGATTCCACCGTGCTTAGAGATAGTTACCTCCCTAATACCCTTATAGTACAGATACAAATATAACGATTTTTCGACTTTTTTTTCAAAGATTGGGGCCCTTTTTGGAACATTTATACTATACTGATGTCCAAAAGAAAGTATACACACTAAAAATATGTCTAAGTTTTGTTTAGATTAAAAACAATTGATAAAACATTACTGAGCTTGTCTCTTGCATCCAAACTCAACATTTCTAAGCAACAAAAGGTGAAACAAATTGAAATTGTACCCAAATACCGCATAGAATGGAAAAACGACTTTGGTTGATGCAGTATGAAATGCACAGCGTATACTTTCGTTTGGACATGAGTATATATTGAGGCTAGACCACCCTAGGACTCAAAGTAACAGAAGTTTATGAAATGAATTAAGAGTAGTTTGCGAAATAAAAGCGTCTGAATAGGCTCCAAAAAGGAAAATACAAGATTTTCTGCGTCCCATAATGTATTGCCTAACCAGCAAATTTTTACCATTTAGATGTCATAAAATCGTCCATTGATCAGGATATACAATGTACTTAAGTTGTTTTGATTCGGTGAAATCTGGCATAGTAATCACTTTTTCACAAGATCACCACTTATTTTACTTTTTACGTTTTTTTTTCAAAAATATCGGATATTTTTTCGACTACTTCCGGTTTTTGGATCATTGTCGAGATAGTTTTAACAATTTGTTTAGATACTTAACTTTCTGTCACAGAAGTGTCAGAAACATCTATTCGTTAGTTTTTTGTAAAAAAGATAAATAAAAGAATATTTTCAATAATTTAACGATTTTTCAACTTTTTTCAAAGATTGAGGCCATTTTGGGACCCCTTATATTATTTCAAACCTTTTCCTTTTGGATTGACGCCACAGACTACCGATAGGACTCTGCGTTAAAAAAGTTTCAGAAAAATCGGAATTGTCGTTTTCGAGAAAAAGACGTCTAAAAAGGCTCCAAAAACGGAAAAATACTAGATTTTCGGCGTACCACAATTTATTTTCTAACCATCGAAATCGTACCATTGAGATGCCATATAATAGTCCATTAATGGGGCTATCCAAAGACACTTTACTTCTTTTGGTCCGAGAAATTCAGCTTTTCGCAAGAGCGACAATTTTTTAACCTTTTTTTTTTCATTTTTTGAATACTTCCGGTATGGAGATTATTGTCGGAATAGTTTTAATAACCAGTTTGGGCAATTAAATAGCGACAGGGCTCTGTAATGATATATTACATTATCTGATCAGATAAAATGACCCTGAGAAATCCTATGTTCAAAGGTGCCAAAAATGCAAAAATGTCAAAATATCGAAAATTAAATTTCAATAACTCAATACATATTATACATCGTTAGAATCGTAATTAGGTCAGCTATCCGAATCTGTAATCTTTTTGTAAAAATTTGTTTAAATAATAAAGTAATAGGGCATTTTGCAAAATTTCACGATTTTGTGACCTTTTTCGATTTTCAGTCCCTTTTTTATCGTATTCCAGACATTTCAAAGTCTTATTGGATGGCATAATTCACAAGACTATCGAATGGACTCTCGATAGAGAAAGTTAAAAAAAAAGTTGCGGTTAAGATTTCGAGATACAGGCGTCCAAAAACGCTCCAAATCAGAAAATACTTGATTTTCAGCTTGTCATATTTTGCTGCTTGGTCATAGTATCCGTATAAATTGGGCATCATACGACAGTCCATTCCTCGGGCCACTCAACGAAAGCTTAATTCGTTTAATCCATTGATACTGGACGGAGAAATCGAGTTTTTCCCTAAAACACCCATTTTTTGCTTTTTTTTCGAAATATCTATCATTATTTCGACTACTTCCGGTTTCCGGATTGTTTTTGAAATTGCTTTATGCAGCGGTCTGACTATATAGCTTTATGTTCCAGGACTTTCAGAACTATCGATTTATCCTTTCCAAAAAATATAAGGGTTGGGAAATGGGCAGAAAATTCGAAAAAAATCGAAAAATAAAGGGCGATAACTCAGAATGAAAATTATATTTCTGGAATCAGATGGTCTTCAGGTATCCAAAAATGTAGGTCAAATTTGAAAATTTTGAAAAATAACAAAAATTGTCTTTTAAACAAATTTTTTCATTTTTCGAAGGCTAGAAGTCAGCGACGAAGTTTCGAAATTTCGAAATTTTCAACTGCTATCGTCCGAGAAAAGACTCAGGGTTTCTGAAAATGTTATTTGTATGAAAATAGGTACAGAATTGACGAAGCTACGGCCGTTTTTTAAGTTTTATGCACCGCACAAAATTCGGCCACTTCCGGTCTGCGCAGAAGTTTCAAAAATAGTTTATCAAGTAGCCACCACATGGTTTCCCGATAGACAATTAGGTCCCATATCGGTATCTGTTACAGGCACGGAGAAATAGGCTCTACCAAAAAAAAAAAAAAAAAATAATGATAAATAATAATAATTTTAGTAATCACAATAGGCTTTCAGACAAAAGTCTGAAAGCCTAATAATAATTTTAGTAATCACAATAGGCTTTCAGACGAAAGTCTGAAAGCCTAATAATAATTTTAGTTAAAACAATAGTCTTAAGTCTGAAAGCCTAATAATTTAATTTGGTTGCTGTACCATTGTTAAATATGAATAAATGAAATGAGTGAAAAGGGTTTAACGTCCTATTGTTCTGCTCCTAACCTGGGCTAATGAAGACGGAAATACACCATACAGTATGCTATGAGGGAAATTTTGCCCGGGCAGCGGCACTACGGCCTACTCTTATATCGAATTCCAACTGCCAAGGGATCTATTACGTGCATGCCAATGTGTACACGGGACCTCGGTTTTTCGTCCCATCCGAACGACTAGACAGCTGTAGACAACAATTGAAATAAACGTCACAACCAAGATATGAGAGGTTCGACATTACATTGGAAACTATGCCTAGACGATCATTGGTCAAAAATGAAGCAGGCATAGCAGGGATAGTGTTACACGTCGAATGTTCAAAAAACGGAAAATTTGACGTTTTGACCTCAGGGGCCACAAAGAACAAAACTGAATTTAGCAAGTTTACATTTTTATTGAAAGAGTGATAACTTCCGATCATTTTCAGTATGTTTTCATGACACAAGAATGGCTTCACATTCACTTCCAGTGTAAATGACCTCATTTTTGACCTTTGACCCGAATATCTCGAAAACGCCCCATCCGCGGACTGATTACCAAAATTTTACTAGTGAAAAGTTGGGTCTGGTTTTGTGCCCATTTGATGGACACCACCCCACCCGCACTGAGCCTCCGGTCTATCAAAGTCTAATTGCCAAGGGATCGTTTGCTATAAGCTTTTGCTTACACGGACCTCGGTATTTCGTCCCATCCGAACAACTATACGGTGTAACTTGCCAGGCCCCCTGTCCTGTTCCACTTGCATGGGGATCGAACATGGGACCTCCAGGTTAGCAAGCCAATGCCCTACTCCCCTAAGCCACCTAAATTCTGATCCGTCGGCCTTTTTCTAATCCGTTCTAATCCAAACCGGGAGATTATTTAGCGTTAATATTGTGTGACACTATGAAATCAAGTTTACGTCGTGACATCCTTCGTCACGAACCTCCATAAAGAAGTTATAACACTATCCTGTTTTTCAAACTGTATCGATTATGTATTAACTCGGGAATACTGTGTTTTAATAACCATGTTTTCTATAACTATGCAGGGGGGTTGGATGGCCAAGTGGTTAGCACGTGCGTGTTGTATCATAAAGCCTGTCATTGAGTCAACTGGCGTGGTTTCGAATCCCCGGTTGTACTTGACAAGGAGTAGGGCCGTCTGTCCAACCTCGTGGGTATTCCCCGGGTCCTCCGGTTTCCTCCCACTGCTAAAGACCCCTACGCGCAAGCGAATTGTTGAAATAAAATTGAACCATATGTTAGTCCCGAAATGACCTAGTTTGTGTCGAGTGGACGTTAAACCCCATTTCTCTCTCTCTCTCTATAACTATACAGAACAGTAGGACGTTAGACCCCATTTTAATTCATTTCATTTCACAGTGTAGAGTATGTTTACTTTTTGTGACTTACACCTTATATTTTTTTACTAATGAACATTTGCTTCAAGATTGCCGGATACTCTAGACTTATGACAAGACCATCAAAACCTCATTAGAAAGCGACATCCGTTCTTCTCATTGTGTGGTTTACTTCAAATCATGTTTACTTTTAACAACAGATAAAAGTGTCCAATTGAATTGTTCAATCCCCCCCCTCACCCCCACACCCACCATCCTTCGGGTAGGCGTGGTAGTCCAAATCATATAATACACCAGTACATATTTTTAATATTATTTGTTTGTATTTAAGATAACAAGTTTCGTTACTAAATCAGATTAAAATATCTGGGTCAATGAAAATGGGAGCTCCGTTACAGAAACAAAAGGTAGATAATTTCTGCTTCTGGTGGCTAGTGTCAATAATAACAACGACTGTTTTATGAGAGAGATACAAATATTTTCTTCTTACCAAAAGATATACAGAATTTTATAAGACAGAACTAACAAAATAACAACGAAATAACAACATGGTACTTTGTATTAAATGTAACCGAATCTGGAATAACAATATATTAATATTGTCTCTCAGTAGAAATCCTCAACCACTTATTAACTCACGGCCCAAGGTAGGGATAATATTTCCAAGAAATCGGTTACGGGGCTGTTGTGTGAGCAGAATACAGTTTTCATGACAATTTCATTAGTGTAATACACCACAAAATTACACTATATTATTAATTGTTACAGTGCGATAGTATTATACTACTGTCTGAGCCGGCACAAATAATAAACTAATTTGTCCAGTATGAACAAACTTTTTTTATTGTTGTAAAATATAACCCATTGTACAAATACATATTTCAAACCTCTAACATGGAAGCTTATTATGACACTCATCAGTGTAGATCAGTTTGCACAAAGGGGGTTACAACCAGTCAGGCCAATCTTTATTTTATTCCCATCTTATAGTTGCCAGTAAGAGTTATCTTTTGAAATATTTACGTGAGTAAATTCTATCCTATATGTCATATTTAGAATGTAATGGCCTAATTACAAATTGACCGTATGTAGCGTTTAACCCAGAGGTTGAAAAAATTAAATTGAGGAAATTGAAGAGAGTTTTGTAAATTATCCATGTATTAATAACAAACAGCAAAGTGACTTTTCCGTATAATAATAATAATAATAATAATAATCCAAATAGCAAAGGGATTCCTCAATATAATAATAATAATAATAATAATAAAATTAACCCAAATAGCAAAGGGATTCCTCAATATAATAATAATAATAATAATACTAATAAAATTAACCCAAATAGCAAAGAGATTTCTCCATATAATAATAATAATAATAATAATAACCGAAAAACGAAGTAACTTCTTCATTTATCAAAATAACCCAAAATGGCGAAGTGACTTCTCCATATAATAATAATAATAATAATTACAATAATAATAAAACCCACAACAGGGAACGGATTTCTCAATAATAATAATAATAATAATAACTAGACCTGTTCTTGAAACAGAGAGAGAGAGAGAAATGGGGTTTAACGTCCACTCGACACAAACTAGGTCATTTCGGGACTAATATATGGTTTAATTTTATTTCAATAATTCGCTTGCGCGTAGGGGTCTTTAGCAGTGGAAGGAAACCGGAGGACCCGGAGAAACCCCACGAGGTTGGACAGGCGACCCTACTCCTTGTCACGTACAACCAGGGATTCGAAACCACGCCAGTCGACTCAATGACAGACTTTATGATACAGCGCGAGCACGCTAACCATTCAGCCATCCAACCCCCTTGCCTGTTCTTGAAACAGGTTTCATAGTTTTTATACAACCCTTATACACTTATACATTAATTTCAACACCTAGAAGATTAATATGTTTTGCTGTCCTGTTTTCTCAAAAGAATCTTAAAGAAAAAAAGGATTATTGAAATCTGTCAAAAAGTCCCTATATATAGTAAAAACATTTCATCAAGCAAAATTTCCTGGGTTTTTTTTAAACAAATTGCACATAACCTATGTTTACAGACCGATTGTTGTAGAACTTTCAGAATAAACACCAAACGGCTTAGTTAATCGTTTACCATCAACATTTTACACGATTTCTAAGTTTGACATTTTTTCAAAACAATTGTTTGTGACATCTAGAGGGTCCACAACCTTTGTATTACATACTTTTACACTATTTGCGTACAATGAGCAAGCGGTCATTCTGTCAGGTAGTTTCGATCCGAGTTTTATGAAATTCAAACTCAACCATCATTATGCATTATGGTGTAACTGTGATATATTTAAACGATTGTTAAAATCAGATAGAAATTGACGGTATACACGTATTTCGAATTAAAACTGCCAAGGGTTCGTTTTTTTGTACGACAATGTGTACACGCGACCGCAATGTTTGTCCCATCTGAAAGACTGAACATTGTACCTTGCCAGGCCCCGCAATCTGCACCAGGGACACGCGTTTAGCGCAGCAGCGCCTTACTCACTGAGCCCCAACGGCTGTTTTGAATATATAAAAGTAAGAATAAATTTTTAAAACGGACCAAATCTTTTAAGTGTGATATAATCGTTTTACTTTAAAACAACGTCACAGGAGAGTTTTAGTTTTAATGGTATTCAATCAAGACGTCATGTAAACAAAAGACGTGTTATATAAATTCGATGGCAAACAATTACATATTCAAATGACTTATTTTCACGGTAGAAGACCAAAGCACATATTTTGGTAAACATTTAAATTAAACATAACCAATATTAAAGGTGCTGTGTCATAATCTATCAAATTAATCTTTTTTAAAAGAATCTAGGTCAAATATCAAATTTCTACTACTACAATCTATTGCGAATAGCGAATGCTTTCCAAAAATATCAAGCTATTGACATTCGGATAAAAATAGTAGGACGAGTAAGATTTTGAAGATTAACTTACATTATCAAAATGGTGGCACATCCGGTGAAATTTTACTTTATGAGATTACTTTAAAAAAATTGATAGACGACTCATATTGACAAATATTTTTAAATAAAGAAAATTAAAGAAGTTGAAAATCTGACTTCATCATCAAAGGGGAGATAATCGGAAAATTTGTGTTGACATTTTTGGGTTAATCCACCCATTTGTAATGTATTCTGAAAGTTCCAAGTCGAAATCTTCAAAAATAAAAAGAGTTACGCTCAGAATGTTCACCTTTCTCACCTTTGACCTTAAAAATTGGTCCATACGCATGCGTCGTAGAGGCCACATTGTACAAAAAAATTTCATTTGATGTCTAATATTGGTCTATTTTCATCGTTGACGTCACTTCCTGTTATCATTTCTAATGTTTTAGATATTCATTCACCCTTTGAACTAAATACCTTTCGGATAGTATATTCTGTAGATGATATACTTTTTTCAAAACGCGAGAAAAAAAAAATAATAATCCGAACAAAAACAATAGTATACTACGTAGTAGTATAAATAATAATAATAATAATGAAAATAAAGCAAATATGGAGGGGATTTCTCCATACATAATAACCAGAGTAACAAAGTCATATCTCCATATGTATACAGAATCAGAATAACGATGCAGACCATGTCGTTAACGCAGCCAATCTGCCCAAGCTTAAACTCCTGTAAAAATGACAAAATATAATTTCATATACATCATCAATAGCACATCCTATAAAGCGTTTAATTTTTGTTGTGATTTTTTGATGCAGTTTGTTACATGGTGGCATTAGCCGGTTGTTGAAGAATGAATACGTATATCAATACGATAAAACACGATTCAACATGATACAAATAATAAAAGTGATTGGAATAATAAATATATATAATCTAATGTCACCCACACGAGTACAGACGGTTGGGCACGGGACATTAGACATATTTTCACTTGAAAAATTAATTACAAAATGAACACCGGTAAAATATAAAATACGAACTATTAAGAAAACGAAAAACGAATTTACAATAATCACGCCATAAACAGAATTTCTGTGGTCAGTATAATATTCTAAACTTAATGTAATACGAGATTCTGTTTGTTCATATGTGAAGTTGGTAAATGGTAATAAATTTGATTGAGAACTTTATCGCAGGTACAGAAGCCCTGAGCCCGGAGCTGTAGAAAATGTTTGGAAAACTTACAGTAAATTGAGCTTTCTGTAGTACATTCTGGGTACCAGACCTCGAGAGTAGGCTTTGCTAATCACTTTATCAAACATAATGTAAATTCTAGACTACAAAGGGCCCCCAAACTACATGAGAACATCAACGTCTTTAGGTTCCCCGGTGCCTACCACCCCTGCTTTATCGTGTTTAGTATGCACAGTCATTTCCGGTCAAATATAAAGAGAAAGATAACTCTCCGTGTATTAACACCAACTCTGTAATATAATGTGTTGGCAAGAAGTTGTGAATTTGGTTGTACGTGACAAGGAGTAGGATCGCCTTGTCCAACCTCATGGGTTTTCTCCGGGTCCTCCGGTTTCCTCCCACTGCTAAAGAACCCTACGGGCAAGCGAATTATTGAAATAAAATTAAAACCATATGTTAGTCTTGAAACGACCTAGTTTGTGTCAAAATATGTAAAGAAATCTGATGTAAAGATATATCGTATTATATTTATAAAATTAATGAATAATTACCTGGACAGTCTCCCTCGACTACTGTAACATCATCTATAGCCATGTCTGATCTATAGTCAGTTCCTCCAACTCCTTCAAATACAATCTACATAAAATACAATTTAATATTTCAAAGAATTGTAAAACTTAGGTGTTGACATCTACACATAATAGGAAATAAATTTCAGGAGTTCAAATAGCTGACATTTTTTTTTGTAGTTCTGTTGTATTAAAGGCTACTTATTCTATATGGGAGGGAGATAGAAATGGAGTTTAACGTCCACTCGGGACCAGTGGCGGATTAAGCTCCACCAAGGCCTGAGGCGGTAGTTGCTGGAGGCAGTGGCGGATTAAGCTCCACCAAGGCCTGAGGTGGTAGTTGCTGGAGGGCCTATTTAGTTTTTAAAGTTAGAGCCAAGGTAGTTGCTAACATTAAAAACGAGATTCGTTACTGAGGTTATCCAGGGGCCTACAATCGCGTCATAACTAGTATGACGTCTTAGACTACACTAAGCCAAAGTCGTTTGATATTGGTAATGTAACTTTATATGCCCATAAATGACGTCACGTGGATACAATATATTAAGCAAGACATAACCGAAAACTTACAAGGATTTAACGTACATTGTAGACCTACGTTTAAAAAATAAGATCAGATCTCCAAACAATAGGGCCTATTTAAAATGGCGTGGGCCTAATTAATTTCGGGTCAGGGCCTATGTTGATTCCCGTTGGGCCTAAACCCCACCCCCTAACATTCATTGTCTATGCGTTTTTAATCGTATCAGACAAGTCTAAAAAATATTTTTTTACAAAATCTTTGGGCCTGAGGCTGCAGCCTCATCAGCCTCACTGATAATCCGCTACTGCTCGGGACTAACATATTGTTCAATGTATGTCAACAATTCGATTTAGTAGTGTGTGTGTGTTTTTTTTTTTTGGGGGGGGGGGTGTATGGAGGATAAGCGATTCTACTCCTTGTCGCAAACAAGCGGGGATTCGACCTCACACCACTTGACTCAATGACACTCGTTAAATCATTCGGCCACCCAATCTCCTGTTCTCTATGAATGAACTCACTAACATCTTGATCTGGAAACTAGCATTATATGAAACTGCTTCATATATGGCCAAATGGCCTTCTGCCCAAACATTACCCTGATCATCTTCGCATCACCCAATTCCGTCCGATATCTTTTGAATCTGATCGAGTATTCAGACCCTACTTGAGGTAGATGTATAGGAACTTACCGAATATGACGATGGTATTTGTGAAAGATTTACATAGCCTTGTTTCCAAACATCCCCCATGTCACCAGCTCTTGTCCATACGACATCCCCCAATCCCGTCTGATTTGTTTTGATATACACGTTGAGTTCACCTGAAAATATCAGTTGTTAAAATCATTTATTGACGTCATGACCGGGAAAAGTATATTGTTAGGATTCGACTACAGTGATAAAAGATGTTGTTATGGTGGGTCGGTGTTAAAAATACAGAATAGATAATGGTTATGTGACAATCGGTCAGTCGTGATCTAAAAGTGAACAGATTCACAGTAATATCTGAAATGTGAATTCGTTTCTCGGTCCGTACTTACCCATATCCTCTCCATACATATGATACCAGAATGACAAACATTGTGTAGATGTAGGCTGGATAATTTCTGGACTCTCTATTCTCGCTGGGACTAATTTTTGTTTGTTTGTGGTTTCGATATATATGTATGTTCCATCTGGAAGAGAATCAACAAGAAAAATTTCATTTGTCTGGTTAAACATACACGATGCAAGAGCTAAATCTGCCTATTGCAGGTCTTTCTGTAGGCCTGAAATTTTATCTAAATTATTAATTAGACATTAATTAACTCATCCAGACCATAATCCACTCTCGATGGCATCGCTAGCCTGTGATGTTTATTGGATTAGTTTCCGGTTTGCTGTTCGACTTCCATTCATAATTTAATCATGAAATGGATAATCGAGACGATGTTTTTTATCCTACCGACTTTAGTAATGATGATCGAAGCTAGGCCGAAAATTCAATCGCTAAAATCTCGGATCATAGTGGATCAATTTGACTGAAATTTTGAGCAAATTCCCTTTACCGTATCTAGTTATTAACTATGATAGTGAGAACTGTCAGCTCTTTATCTAATCTCACATAATGTATCTTTAATAACTGAGCTGTTGACATTTCAAAGAAACTTCAATTAATTTAGATTGAGATCGTTAAATCGGTCTTATTCATCCGATTGTAAAGAGTTTTAACAATTACATGACGAATAAAGTATATTGCTTTGGAAAATGGCTTGTTAAGGATGCTCTCCGAATTTAAATGAATGATTTGAAGATATCTGTCATCAAAATTATATTTTAATAACGATTGTATTAATACATTTAGATTTAAAAGTTAAGTCTTTTATCTGAGTCGAGTCCTTTATTGCAGACAAGAAACCAATCTATGATATAGATTCGTATGGTAGCCTTAAAAGCAAATTGAAAAAAATATATTGTGATGAAGAGTGGTATTATAGTTGGTGTGCGTTTATTTAACATTGTACCAGATTTCTTCCAGCATATGTTACCTTGCCTATCTAACTATCCTTTTATTTAATATTGAATCAGATTTCTTCCTGCACATGTACACTTCGCGATTTTTCAGTAATTCATCAATTTTAGCAACCGTTAAAAAACAAAATCTTACTTCCTGTATGATCATTTGTTGGTCCTGTCGCTATTGAATATGTTCGGCCTTTATTTCTTGTCCAATCCAAAATATCGTCGGACAACTGTTTCCACCCACAGTTACTCTCATCAAAATTACAACCAATCTCTATTAATTATTAATAAAAAATATTATTTAATAGAAAATCATGACCATGTCACTGACTGCCATTTATAGAGAAACCCAGACCTCGCATACCAAAAGTATGCAAATTTACTTGTTCAATAACGTCCAACATCTAGAGCTAAATATTTAAGCATAGATTTTGAATGTACGTTCCTTCAAGATAGTGCCTGTCAGATTTAATTTCCCATTTATTGATACCTCGTAGTTCCCGGGGAATACGCCTTTAAAAGAGGGGTGAACGTTTAGATTTGTCCCATTTCAAAAGCGTTCCCCGCCAGGGTTGAAGGAGGCACAGAGTTCCTAACGATAGGAGCTATAACTTATATATATAATATCCCAGATGTGTTCATTTTTTATGTGTGATGTATTCTGCTATATAAACAAACATTGGATCAGCGCGTTTTTCCTTGGCCTTATTATTAAACAAAAACACAACATGATGTCCATATTAATGTCCACAGTGTAGTCAAAGATTTTAAGAGATGCGATAGGGATCGCTAGTGTTACAAGTTATTCTTGGCGTTCATAGCCAGAATAGTAGTGTCACACCGAATTATAGTCTTAGATATTCGATTTCTTGGGATCCGAAATACGGGTTACATAGACAATCTACACAGAGAAAAAAAGTCCCGTAAAATACGAATGTTTATACGCGCGCAAGGGAAATTAATTATGAAACAAATATAATTATGCGAAAGAGAAATAAGTTTTTTTTAAACCCGCCTGTATTTTATAAATGTTGCCTACCGCACAAGGAAATCATGAACTCCTTGCTTTATGTAAAGTACGTTTGAAAAATGAGCTATTTGTCATTTATTGCAAACACAGCAATTGGGTTATTGGGATCTCTCGAAACAATTATAGGATCGTTTGCGCCCGCTTTGAAACAAAACCACACCAGTTGACTCAATGACAGACCTCATGATACAACGCGCACGCGCTAACTATTGGGCCATCACACCCCCCCCCCCCGCCACCGATGTAATTGAGAAAAATAACTAAAGTAAAAATAAGTGAAACATATTCGCCAAGGGAGATAATGCTAAACCTATAGTAGTTTTACTTTCTCAATTAAATGATAATATAAATCAAGCGATCTTTGACGTGAATTGATCATGTATATGTTTTTTGAAAATAATAAATCAGAGACTCAATTTGGTATTGGTATTTAAATGTGATTTTCTTTATACGAGAGCAAAGCAGAGCCAACTTACTCGTGCAATTGATTCCTTGTAATGAAGGAGGACAACGACAACTCACACCACTTTCTGATATATAACACGTGGCATTATTTAAACAGGGGCTGTATATATCACAGGGATTTACTGAAATTAAATTGAAGAAAAATTATTAGATTAAAGTTTGCTTTCTCACATGGTGACGTTGCAGATATATGGTCTGCACACGCACAAGAAAACAACAGCTTTAGTTCAACTATTGCCCATCCGCTCCACAAAACAAACATGGTAGTTCGACTAGGTATGACAATTCTTTCGTTTATACGTTATTTGTTTGTAATAGCATAGAAGGAGGGTTTGTGATTTTGCATTTTCTATCAGGTTGCGATGTTTATTTGTGACTTAGTGGTGGATGGCTTAGAGACGATCACTATAACATCCTCAATGAACCTTATACGCCATCTTAGAATGGTACCCTTTTATATGACAAGAATTCTACGAGCACGCGCCTACAGGTTATCCATGGGCACCCTTCACAACTAAAATGTAGCTCACCATCACAGAGTTTCCCCCAATATCCAGTAAGACAATTACAGCTGTAACTGTTGTCAATTGGTGAACACGTACCACCATTTTCACAAGGATTAGGTTCACAGACAGGCACTAGAGTTGAAGAGGATATAGAGATTATAATATAAAGGACAGGGAGGGTAGTCGTTTCCCACGGCTATAAAATACACATTTAATTTCCGACATACGGATTACATGGACCATCTACACAGAGAAAAAAAAAGTAACGCAAAATCCGAATGTTTATATGCGCCCAAGGGAAGTTAATTACGTAAACAAATATAATTATGTGAAATAGAAATAAGTATTTTTTACACCGCCTGTGTTTTATAAATGACATACTAACGGCGCAAGGAAATCGTTTTGTGTAAAGCACGTTTGAGAAATCAGCCATTTGTCGCTTATTGAAAACACAACAATGGGTGATCGGGATCTCTTCAAGCAATTATAGGATCGTTTGCGTGCGCTATGACTTAGTTCCGGTGACACCCTTCCCGCCATGCTGTTTTTAAAATTTGGTTGAGATTCCTTGGTATTTCGACTAGGTATAACAACTCTCTCTTGTCGTGTGTTCACCCCTTTTGGATGTTATTTGTTGATAATAGAATCGAAGAAAAGCGTGTGATTTTGCATTTTCTATCAGGTTGCGATGAATATTTTTGACGTAGTGGTGGATGACTTAGAGACGATCACTATAACAACCTGTACTACATCTATAGTAATGTACCTTATACGCCATCTTAGAATGGTACCCAATTATAAGACAACAATTTTACGCGCATGCGCCTAAAGCTTTTTCCTCGGTCACCCTTTATAAGTAAAATGTAGCTCACCTTCACAGAGTTTCCCCAAATATCCAGCAGGACAATTACAGCTGTAACTGTTGTCAATTGGTGAACACGTACCACCATTTTCACAAGGATTAGGTTCACACACAGGCACTAGAGGTAAAGAGGATATAGAGATTATAACATAAAGGGCCGGGAGGATAGTCGTTTCCCACACCTATAGAATACAAAATTCCTACAGGTATATTAAAGGTTTAACAGTCTGGGTCATGTTTAGCCAATTGGATATCATGTAATACGACATGCCCAATGTGTAATCCCCGAAACACGTTATACTGGTGAAGGGGCGGTAAAGTAACCATTCAGTTTACAACATTGTGCTTATCGCACAGACGTCACAAGAAACCCAAAAGAGTGACACCTTCTCTTGTTTTAAATCCGATTGAATGCAACCCGGGGGATTATTTAACGTTGGTTATTTGATTTTGTTTTCTTCATAAACTGTTCAAATAACCATATGATTACCTTGAGAGATTTCATATTTTCCCAAAAATGCAAATCAGACACAGTAACTTTAATCGAAATGATATAAGGGGTCGGAAGTATACTCTGTATCACAACAGATCCGGGACTGTACAGCACAGTGGAGGCTTACGGTTAGCTCCCGGATCCGAATGAAATGAAATGGGGTTTAACGTCCTACTGTTCTCCTCCTAAACTGGGCTAATGAAGACGGGCATACGCAATACAGTGTGCTATGAGGGAACATTTTGCCCGGGCAGCGGCACTACGGCCTACTCTTATATCGAATTCCAAGTGCCAAGGGATCTTTTACGTGCACGCCAATGTGTACACCGGAACTCGGTTTTTCGTGCCATCCGAACGACTAGACAGCTGTCTTTGTCAGGCCCTCCGTCCTGCATCACTGACAAGGGGAAAGCACGCTGGAAAATCTGGATGAACTTTCTCGGCCGCCCCCGGATGCATTCACTAGATCTGCTATGTGCCGTGCGTTTGTTTGTGATTTCTGCTTATTGTGTCCGTAGATTTGTCTTATGTACGTGGTTGTGTGTGGCGCAGTCCACCTGCACTTACTATACTAAACAGCAAAAAAAAAAACCAAAAAAAACCCCCAAAAACAACCCCCCCCCAAAAAACCCCCCAAAAAACCGTCAGTACGATTTCAAAATCAGAGAGGCACTTTAATCAAATCATTCTAAAAAACTACTTACTAAATGGATCAAAGCAATTTTTTTAACAGTATGTGGACACATTAGTGATTAATTCATCACAATTCCAAGACATTACGAGAAGTACACAGTCTATACATCAGTATCTAAAGTCTATATGTCTTAAATAAACACCAATCTCTGGATATTAATTAATTTAATATATTTCTCTAAACATTTGTATTTGATATTATTTTGATATATTTAATGAATTGAAGAAACAGAAACATTAGAATTTAGCTGCCTGTCCACAGAACTTGTATGCAAACCCCCAGTCATCTTACCTAACGCCCTTTATGCGGATTACACTATTTTTCAGATACCGTTCTATCAGGTTGCGATGTTTATTTGTGACTTAGTGGTGGATGGCTTAGAGACGATCACTATAACATCCTCAATGAACCTTATACGCCATCTTAGAATGGTACCCTTTTATATGACAAGAATTCTACGAGCACGCGCCTACAGGTTATCCATGGGCACCCTTTACAACTAAAATGTAGCTCACCATCACAGAGTTTCCCCCAATATCCAGTAAGACAATTACAGCTGTAACTGTTGTCAATTGGTGAACACGTACCATCATTTTCACAAGGATTAGGTTCACAGACAGGCACTAGAGTTGAAGAGGATATAGAGATTATAATATAAAGGACAGGGAGGGTAGTCGTTTCCCACGGCTATAAAATACACATTTAATTTCCGACATACGGATTACATGGACCATCTACACAGAGAAAAAAAAAGTAACGCAAAATCCGAATGTTTATATGCGCCCAAGGGAAGTTAATTACGTAAACAAATATAATTATGTGAAATAGAAATAAGTATTTTTTACACCGCCTGTGTTTTATAAATGACATACTAACGGCGCAAGGAAATCGTTTTGTGTAAAGCACGTTTGAGAAATCAGCCATTTGTCGCTTATTGAAAACACAACAATGGGTGATCGGGATCTCTTCAAGCAATTATAGGATCGTTTGCGTGCGCTATGACTTAGTTCCGGTGACACCCTTCCCGCCATGCTGTTTTTAAAATTTGGTTGAGATTCCTTGGTATTTCGACTAGGTATAACAACTCTCTCTTGTCGTGTGTTCACCCCTTTTGGATGTTATTTGTTGATAATAGAATCGAAGAAAAGCGTGTGATTTTGCATTTTCTATCAGGTTGCGATGAATATTTTTGACGTAGTGGTGGATGACTTAGAGACGATCACTATAACAACCTGTACTACATCTATAGTAATGTACCTTATACGCCATCTTAGAATGGTACCCAATTATAAGACAACAATTTTACGCGCATGCGCCTAAAGCTTTTTCCTCGGTCACCCTTTATAAGTAAAATGTAGCTCACCTTCACAGAGTTTCCCCAAATATCCAGCAGGACAATTACAGCTGTAACTGTTGTCAATTGGTGAACACGTACCACCATTTTCACAAGGATTAGGTTCACACACAGGCACTAGAGGTAAAGAGGATATAGAGATTATAATATAAAGGGCCGGGAGGATAGTCGTTTCCCACACCTATAGAATACAAAATTCCTACAGGTATATTAAAGGTTTAACAGTCTGGGTCATGTTTAGCCAATTGGATATCATGTAATACGACATGCCCAATGTGTAATCCCCGAAACACGTTATACTGGTGAAGGGGCGGTAAAGTAACCATTCAGTTTACAACATTGTGCTTATCGCACAGACGTCACAAGAAACCCAAAAGAGTGACACCTTCTCTTGTTTTAAATCCGATTGAATGCAACCCGGGGGATTATTTAACGTTGGTTATTTGATTTTGTTTTCTTCATAAACTGTTCAAATAACCATATGATTACCTTGAGAGATTTCATATTTTCCCAAAAATGCAAATCAGACACAGTAACTTTAATCGAAATGATATAAGGGGTCGGAAGTATACTCTGTATCACAACAGATCCGGGACTGTACAGCACAGTGGAGGCTTACGGTTAGCTCCCGGATCCGAATGAAATGAAATGGGGTTTAACGTCCTACTGTTCTCCTCCTAAACTGGGCTAATGAAGACGGGCATACGCAATACAGTGTGCTATGAGGGAAAATTTTGCCCTGGCAGCGGCACTACGGCCTACTCTTATATCGAATTCCAAGTGCCAAGGGATCTTTTACGTGCACGCCAATGTGTACACCGGAACTCGGTTTTTCGTGCCATCCGAACGACTAGACAGCTGTCTTTGTCAGGCCCTCCGTCCTGCATCACTGACAAGGGGAAAGCACGCTGGAAAATCTGGATGAACTTTCTCGGCCGCCCCCGGATGCATTCACTAGATCTGCTATGTGCCGTGCGTTTGTTTGTGATTTCTGCTTATTGTGTCCGTAGATTTGTCTTATGTACGTGGTTGTGTGTGGCGCAGTCCACCTGCACTTACTATACTAAACAGCAAAAAAAACCCCCCAAAAAAACCCCAAAAACAAAACCCCCCAAAAAACCCCCCAAAAAAACCGTCAGTACGATTTCAAAATCAGAGAGGCACTTTAATCAAATCATTCTAAAAAACTACTTACTAAATGGATCAAAGCAATTTTTTTAACAGTATGTGGACACATTAGTGATTAATTCATCACAATTCCAAGACATTACGAGAAGTACACAGTCTATACATCAGTATCTAAAGTCTATATGTCTTAAATAAACACCAATCTCTGGATATTAATTAATTTAATATATTTCTCTAAACATTTGTATTTGATATTATTTTGATATATTTAATGAATTGAAGAAACAGAAACATTAGAATTTAGCTGCCTGTCCACAGAACTTGTATGCAAACCCCCAGTCACCTTACCTAACGCCCTTTATGCGGATTACACTATTTTTCAGATACCGTTCTTTAGGACTTCGAATATTGTCTTATGGTATTGATTGTTCGTACTTGGTTTTATTTTATTTCATAACGTAGTAATTAATATTCTTAAATCATTTGGTAATGGTTATAAATATAGGTGGACGTTATAATATGGATATAAACACATTCTGATCACTGTAACTAATTCATGAGATATAAACTGTATAACACACACATGCGATATAATATCACATTCTGACCAATGCAGCTACTGACCGCAACGGGAACCATTTCAGAGTTTGTTCTGATTCCGCGTTGTATTTTCTTGCAGATGGGGTACTGAGCGTTGCTTTTTTTCTTAATGCCAGATTGGCATACTAACTGAATTAAATAACCAACAAAATGCTGGTTAATATCAATGAATGAATGAATGAATGAAATATGGTTTTATGGCACGTCAGCTCCAACCGGGCTATATTGCGCCAAACATATGGTGAATCTAACGAGACAAATTAAAACAATATCACATAAATGAATTTATATATGTAAATAAAAACAAATATCACAGAAAATATATTAATTAAAAATAAATATAACAAATCTTTTACATATATAAATATTTAAAACGATATACATGATTAAATATATACAATTAAAATTGATAATAAAAGTTTGTCTCTTTTAAAAATGTTAGCACTTTGTCATATAGCTCCGGTTGAGCAAATAGCTGACGTACTGACTGGCAACGGTAATATTTAGATCTAATGTTCTTGAGATGATTGCACTCAATCAAGATGTGTTTCACTGTCAAAGTAACATGACAGTGAACACATTCCGGTTGAGGCTCTCGCTTTAAAATGAAAATATGAGTTAAAAAAGTATGACCAATTCGAGAGCGACACAAAACAACTTCATCCCTCCTGTTGGTTCTATAGGAGTTGGGCCAATCTCCTAGGAGAGGCTTAATGTGATGAAGTTTATTTGTGCCTGCAAGATCCCAAGACCGTTGCCAGCGGTCATAAATAAAATGATTTATACATAATTTAAAATCTTTATATGGTATTAATAAATGTGATTGGGGAAGATCTAAAGCAGCTTTGGCAGCAAAATCTGCTTGATCATTCCCCCTTATATCAACGTGACTGGGGAGCCAGCAAAAGACAACGTCTTTGCTGCTCAACTCGCAAGATATACTATTCAAAAAAAGTAGGGGATATTTGATTTTTAAGTGTTATTAAAGTCACCTAATGAAACTGACGAAGAAACAAATGACAAAATGAAATGAAGTTCACATTCATCGATTTATTCCAAATGATCGTTAGACTAAGTAAGGCACAGACTGACCATTATAAGGGTAAAATGATACCCGGGGTCAAACAGCAAAGTTACCACAGCATCACAACCAAGTCAGTAACGGGTAAATCCTCCTCTGTTTGCCAAACAAGCATTGATCCGACGTGGCATACTCCTAATGAGACGTCTAAGGTCATTTTGGTCCAGATTGTCCCATTCCTGTTGCAACGCAGCAGCAAGTTCTTGGACATTGGCAGGACGTTGTTGACGTTGACGTAACCTCTATCCAAGCATCTCCCAGACATGCTCGATGGGGGAGAGGTCGGGACTCAGTGCTGGCCAAGGTAATGTGGTGATGTTCTGTTGTTGGAGGTAACCTGTAACGATCCTGGCCCTGTGACATCTTGCGTTGTCATCCTGGAAGATGAAACGGCGGCCATGACGTCGTGCGAACGGCACAACATGGACTGCCAAGATGTTGTCCCGGTAGTACTGGCCTGTAACACGCCCTGCAACAACATGTAAAGCCGTTCTTCCAGCAACAGTGATGCCTAGCCACACCATAACAGAACCACCCCCAAATCGATCATGTCTGATGACGTTAACGTCTTGGAAGCGCTCGTTTCGACGACGCCACACCCTCCTACGCCTGTCCAAAAAATCAACAGTGAACCTTGACTCATCTGAAAACATCACATTGCTCCAGCGTCGATTATCCCAGTGTTGACGATCCCTACACCAACGACGTCTTGCCTGAATGTGATGATCTCTCAAACAAGGGATCACGCGAGGACGTCGGGCGCGAAGGTGACCCCTATGCAGTCGATTCCGAATCGTCTGGCCACTCACTCTCACACCAGTGTCTGTTTGAAGACGAGCGCTGATCTGATTTGCTGTGATGACACGATTTCTCAAGGCCAAGGTACGGATAAATCGATCCTGGGCTTGAGTTGTCGCCCTTGGTCGACCTGAGCGTGGTCTGTCCTGTACAGATTGTGTATCACGGTATCTGGACCATATTCTGCTTATGACAGACTGAGAAACATTCATCGTCCGCGCCACAACCGCCTGTGTTGTGCCGATCTGTAGCATGCCAAGGGCACGTAACCTTTCATTTTGGGTAAGCCGACGCATATCAAAATTTGTTTTCTGGTCACTAAAACAATTAAACTGATGTTTCCACCCTGGAATTGAATGCCACAATGACTGTAACATTCAAAGTCAGAGTCGTGCAAATCTTGGGTTGGACCCCCATGATGATCCCAAGCATCACCTGCATTCCATGCGGTAGCTATTGGTGCGTTTGGGCGTCACATGTAACTGGAAATGTTTCTTCTGTTAGGTTCTATAGTGACTTTTTTCGTAGTCATTTGCATATTTTAGTATTATGCCCCCAAAATCAAATATCCCCTACTTTTTTTGAATAGTATAGTAGCAGACGATAAACATCTGCTACTAATGGGTGTTCAAGCTGTTTATTGTTAATTGCTTGAAGCGAGGACAGAGAATCAGTAAAGATGACATGCTTTAAAGATGAAGAGGATTGTATGAACTCCAAGGCCTGAAGAATGGCCTGGAGCTCAGCTGTAAATATTGAAGCAGCAGGTGGAATAATATCAATGAATATCAGTACATACCTGTACAGCATTTCGGGCAGAAGTTTTCTCCTTTTATTTCACAAGTATCAAATTCCATTGGCGTGAAAAATCCATTATAAGTCTTAACTATTTTGTCTCCGTTCTTTGTTACAATATAAGCTACAAAAATAAACATTTGTATAGAACAGGATCCAACCATTTTTATGTTTAAAGCAATAGAAATACACTAGTTTTAATGTTTAAAACTGTATGTACTGAACAGAATTTAAACATTTTTATGTTTAAAACTGTATGTATTGAACAGAATCCAACCATTGTTACGTTGTTAAAACTATATGTATAGAACAGAATTCCACTATTCATGTTCATCGTAATGAAATTTTAACATCGTGAAAACCATGCGCCTTGTTGATAAAATCTTACGTCATGTTCCTACAGTAAAAACTAAAACTGGTGAACGGACCTTTGTTTAGGCCTCTGCTAAAGTGTGGAATGAGTTACATGTATAAAATAAAACTCTACTAATGTTGCTGTTTTTAAAAATAATCATTTAAACAGAACTTTTTAAATATGCTTTTGAACTATGAATATGTTGGCATATTGTGTTAAAACTGTTGTGTTACGTTATATGTATTTGACTTGTAAAGAGCGCCCTGAACTAGCTTATTAGCTGCAACACCCACCCCTACACAAATCAAGCAGTGGTTATAGCAGTACTCATTTTTAGCTGCATTTAATAGATCGTAAGGGGAGTAACGCGAAAATAGAAAACCAGTTTAAACCCTTTAAGGCAATTTAAAGACAAAAGTCAGTAGATTTCATGTATGGCGGAGAAGATACCGGTAAAAATAATAATCAAAGTTTGAATAAATAAATAAATAAATAAATAAATTTAAACATAACTTCACTTTAAACAACCAAATAAATAAATAAATTACGAACCTGTTTTCAATGCATCGCTGTCACTGCAGCATTTTCGGTTCAGCTTCTTGATCTTGCCCTTTACAGATCCCTTAAACTGATCGTAGAAAAGGCAAATGCCTCTCTGTTTGGCCTCATCACAGACTGTCTCCTTCGATTCCTTTGACTCCTTTGATTCCTTTGAAGCTGGATGTCCCCAGATGGCTGCCACAGTGATCATGAGGAAAACTAGTATTAGCGCCCGCATGTTGAAGTCTCCGATAAAACTTGTTGCTAATGTTGATACCAAGAGTTAATCAGATGTGGATCAAGAGAGGGTCGACTATTTATCCTCTACAAAGCATGTGACGTCAATTCTTTTGACCAATCAAATGGCTGTTTATACTTTATTAGTAAGTAGTGGGCCTGAAACACGTGGCGTTACCAAATTAGAGAAAAACAAATGATCAGTCAAAATTTGAATATTTGATATTTGGCGAATTAGATCTGTCAAATTTGCATATTTCATATTTAGCGAGTTAAATCTAGTTAAGCACAGGGCTGTCGGTAATTTTCCACAATTGATTAGCAGCACTGCTAATCAAAAAGTCTAATTTTGCCAAATTTGATTAGCAAATTCAAAAATTGATTAGCAGTTTTTCAGTTTCAACATAAAACACCTAAATAACAAGATATTACTTTAATTCATAAAAAATGATTACATTTTGTTCTTAGATTTTTTAGCACTGCTACAAGTAGCTGTGACAATTTGTGAACGCGACTTTTGGTTAGGTCTTCGATGCTTTTTTTCAAAGAATAGATTAACTGCTTGTTCAACATTAAAGTTCTCTAAATTATGGCCCGATCTTTTTATTCTCACAAGACCATCCAGAATTGTATCCCCCAGACATGACCTCCAATCAGTTTTAATAGTATTCATAGTTGAGAAACATTTCTCAACTACTGCATTTGAAAATGGGAAAACTCTCAGTATTTCTATCAATTTGGACACAATGGGAAATTTACCAGCTTGTTTGTTCAAAAGGAAAATTTTATTCCATACTTCTGGAGTGGATAAGTGGATTAGATTGTTTGAAACATAGAGTTTAACTTGCTGCCATTGAAATATAACTTCATCTAAAATTATCTGATGATCAGGGGTCATTTGACTGGTTTCAGGTTCACTTTCACTCTCAGACGATTCCTGGGGTGACACATTTAAAGACACATTCTCCATTGTAACTAATAAAGATTCAAAATGTTTTGCAGCTTTCAAGATCAAGTCATCTCCAAAAGTCATTAAAGCTTCTCTATCAATGGGCCACACATTTTTGTCTAATACAGTAGCACAGTTATAAAAGTTTTCATGGTTTCTACCTAACTCAAACCTATTCATGCAGGCCTTTTCAACATTATCAATGTATAAAGCTTTATTTTGTTTTAATTGTTGCAATCCAGTTTTCACTCTTGACAGTTTCATAGAGCGAAATAGAACATCATCTCCTCCAGTGGAAATGTGTGCTTCACCAGCTTCAAGCAAGTCTTTCAATTCACCAATGGTTTCTTCAGATTTGAGTAATCTTAAAGTTTCTTGACAATGCTCCAGTGCTGATAAGACAAATGAGATATTCAACACATCTTTCTGCCATGAAAGAGAAAGGACTGCTACAGGTTTCAATATTTTGATAAAAAATAAGAGATGAGCAACAAACTGAAATGTTTTTAGTTGTTCATAGATCCCTCTTGCTTTTGCATCATTCTGCTGTACAGATAAATTCTCCAGGTGTTGAGTAATCACTTTATAGTCTTTTAAAAGATGTTCAGCTGCTGTTAACTTATGTTGGATCCATCTTGTTCCCTGTGTCTTAATGGGTTTGGAGGCATAAACTTCCCAAGCCTCGCCTAACTGTTTTAGTTCTTTTAATTTTTTAGGACTTTTCTTGTAAAAGGCAAATATTTCTTGTAATACTTTAATAACTACTGTCTCAAATACTGTTCCCTTGAAACCATCCCTGATGGCTAACTCTAGTCTGTGATTAAAACAATGCACACTTATGAGCCAAGGAATATCTTCACGTAACTGCACAGCTAGACCCCTATTCACCCCCATGTTGACACTTGCCCCGTCCGCTCCTAGACCAATAATTTTTGATTTGTAATTGACAATGTTCATATTTTCCAAAACAGAATAAATCATTTCTTTTAGGCCCTTTGAAGTTCCGTCACTTATTGATTGTATTTTTAACATTTGGCTACAAAGAATGCCTTCTTGATTTACAAAAATGACATAAAGGAGTTCTTTTTCCTGAGTTGCTGAGTCGGTGCTACCATCAGTAAGTATTGAGAAAAATTTTGCAGAATTCAGTTCATCTTTTAGGTTCTGCTCCAGATTTTCAGCTATACACATAGTGAATTCCTCACACCCCTGTTTATTAGTGTATGGTCCAACTAAATCAACCCCATGAAGAATTTGAAGTTTTATAAATTTGTCAAACTTTACAAAGGCTATTTCTTCCTTTGCCATCATAAAAGCTATTTCAGTTAATTTTGTAACTCGACCACGTTCTCTGGAATTCACAGTTGAGAATGATTTTCCCAGGGGAGTTTTAGAGAAGAAGTCATCTACTGTCAATGGGCCATTTTCAATACGTAAAGCTCTCTTGTGTTGTTCTGATTTAAGGTGTTTGGCAAGGGCATCTTTTTTTAGCTGTTTGTCTCTGACACCATGAACAAATGCTTCAGAAAAATTACGGTGGATTTTGAGGTCACTGGCATGTGCCCGGCAAAGTTTACAAATAATAGATAAAACACGACCATGCTCTACTTCTAATTCAAAATTGTCAGTGCCTAATGTCTGAAGCCAATTCTTGGCAGTGGCTTCCGAAGCCCCGCTCATTTTAATTGTTTTTTTCTTCCTTACGGTACAAATCTTCGTTAGAAAATAATTTCGTCTGCTTTTTGTCGTGTGTTACTATTTTTGTTCAATCGGACACGCACGGGATTTAACGAATAAACTCGATTAACTAGACACAAACAATAATATTTTACGGGAATTCTTACTTTGATTTCTCATTTTACAATACGTTTACATGTATTTATTTATTTATTTACAATACGTGGAGGATACAATACACTGGATTAATTTTTTTTGTTCAAATTGAATAGGTACTACTGATATAATTACTCAAATTGACATGTCACGGAGCATGAATGGTACTACTTGATTCCCTATCTCTGGTTTATCACAGAGTTACGTCCCTGTAATATAGTATAATGAATTGTGTCTGGGTAGTTCGAGAAGAAGAAAATGTCACGGAGAATTCAGCTTTGTTTATAAAATTTTATTTGACATTTTATACACGTTGAAAGTGTTGAAAAAGCCTTCTAATCTTCAAAATGTGGATAAATCTTCGTGTGAATATCCAAAATGACAGGCATATTATTGATTCGCAGTTACTGCGAATCAAAAACATCAGATTTCAATTTTTGATTAGCAACGGACAAAATATGTATCGCAAATTGCGCTGCGATACTGGTTGTCGGCAGCCCTGGTTAAGCATGTTGGCTACTGCTCGCTGTGTAGAACCCATTTGAAGCATGCCAATAGCACATAGGCGTTCATCATGTTGAAGACGTCTCATTGCAAATTAAACGTAACACACTAAAGCAAAGATACGCTAAACAGTAAGTCTTATGCAAGAACCGATAGGAAAGCAAATAGGATAAAGCAGCACACGGCAGTTTTCATCAACCCTAAAAAAATACAAAAAGCAATTCGAAATAAAATTTTAAAAAAAAGTAATTTTGAGAAGTAAAACCAAAAGTATAGGAACCAGCTAAGTTTCAATAAAATCATGCATTATAACTATTTTTATTTGTGAATCTTTCCATAATCAAATTTAATTTGGTTCTTCGGATGTAACAAGTTATGGGGCGCATTTTATAGGGCTGGTCCCGGTAAACAGCACGTACAGCATGAGTTACATGAAAATCATGGATACCACATTACCATCTCAGAAGTCAGGTTGCGTTTTTGAGAATATGTCCTTGGTCTCATTCTGTGTTTGGGAAGGAGCCTTATTGCTCAGGTAAAGTTGGACATGTGGTCACAAATATACAATAAACACATTTGGCAAGTTTTATGCAACATACCAATCTGACGTTTCTTTTGCTGCTTAGTATATTATCGAGTTTCGGGACTATTACCCTAGTCTAATACCGTGCCGGTTTACTCCAGAAAAAATTGTTCCATTATATTAATTACGATAAAATAATCACTTTATAAATGTGGGACTAACTTGATTAATATTGGTTTATGTGAACCAGTTTTTATTTCAATATATCTGATAAATATAAGATAATGCAGGCTCTGTTTCTAATCACACGTGTTTATAAAGTACGTTAATAAAAATAGAATACAACAACGCAGTATAGTATAAAGTCAAAAGTTAAAAGAAATGCAACCAGATTTTTTTGTCAGTTTAAAATACTGAGCCATTCAGATATAACTGCCGAATTGTCATGAGCACGTGCGTTTTTCAGGCTAAAGTCTAACAAGAAAACTTAGTGTCCTTACATAATAAAAGTTATATTACTGTTATTAATTTCATTCAACCATTGGTTTGTCTCCAACTCGTCATTTGTGTTCATGGGCATGATGATGAGATGGTAACGTTATATGTTTTATATTTATGTTCAGACGAACACGTTATTTGTGTATAAACCAAATGATAACCTCCATCTTCAATAGTCTAATTGTGTCAAGTACTCTTCCTTTAAAATGAAATAATTATTGAGGGGTTCTCGCTGCAAATAGTATGCATCATATCAATTGTGTTCGGAAATAAAATCAGTAACTTTTATGTGATCGTTAATTTTAGATCAAAAGGTTTTAGCTATCAACTGTCGACATGTTGCTTTCATTTTTGTCCCGGAAATAATATTTTATGCATGTATTTGTGCTTCAGTGTTTTCCTCCTTGCTCGTGATTGGTTATTCAAGATAAACGTGGCTTATGGGTCGATTATGTTCGTGTATGGGAAAGGTATAACAACATCAATTGCAGAAATGGACATAAATATATCTGTACATTTAGAAACAAATTTTATTATCGGCTTAAATCGATTGTAACACGTGTTTAAATATTTGCTTCCTCAACAGTCGATATCCTCGATTATGATTGGTTGGCATTATTATCCCATTACCAGCAAATACATCTTTTCAGATACTTCCTGTGAAACATTGTTGTTATTCTACAAACTTTAAATATATCATAATTTGAGCATGGGCGTCACGCATGGGGGGCGGGGGTCCGACCCCACAATTGTTTTTCTGGGGGGGGGGGGGGGGCTTAAAAATATACTCCCCCCCCCAAAATAAAAAAATTACATGGTAGGCCCTAACTCCTATTTATTTACAACAATTATTAGGATTAGTTAAGATTATATCTGTATAAAACCTGTACATATCCCAATATGTTGGTGTGGTGTTTTTAGTTTAACCCCGTAAAATATGCCAAAACAGTGTTTAGAGAAGACTGGAACTTTAAATTTTTTATGGGGGTGGTCCCCTAAACCCCTTCAGTGGGAGGGTGACCCTCCCACACTCTCCCTATCGCGCTACAACGTCTGTACGCAGCCTCGTGCCTCTGGCGTCACAGATTGTCAACATTTTATATAATTTCATATGCGGACACCCCCCCCCCCCCAATATATATTTCACGGCTACGCCTCTGAATTTGAGTGATATAAGAAACCCTTCCAGAATTGATTCTCTTATAAAAATATCAGCCCCAAAATGGTTCGCCAATCTCTCTACACCTGTCCAACCAACTTTATGTTTTCCTAACTGATGTAAAGAACATAATATTAATTACAAAACGATCAAATGACAAAATAATGTGATTTGTAGAGTGTTCATAAGAAATTGTGGGCGACGAGTGGACGGATCGACGGCAACATACGACCATATTTCCATGTGGGTGCTTGGCAGGCGTAGGGATGGGGGGGGGGTTAGTCCTGGATTTACAACGTTTTTGATTAATTGGTAAGATAGCCACGAGATGAGGTTCGCAAGTCAGCAGTGGCGGCGCCACCTGTAGGTGGTTGGAGGGGCAAAGCTGGAGCAAAGTTCAAGGCTAAGGGGGCAAAAGCACGAGCATTAACTAGGGGTAGGGGGCTACCGGAAATGCAGCCTGGCAGTATCTCAGGCACTGATCGTTGAGGAGTGTCAATCGAACGGAACGAACCTCGACGTAGCCAACTGACGACCGCCAAAGTAGGGAGTCTTTACGGAGGGTATGGGGGACCTCCCCCAGAAAATTATGAAAAATAGATTGCCGGAAATACTTTCTGACAGTATTCAATCAGGCACCGATCGTCGAGATAAATTTAATAGACCTGATCATATACCATTTGCCGCCTGATCACTAGTTTATCCAACCAGAGAAGAAAATGTCAGAAGAACGGACTTGCGAACCTCAACGAAGTAGCGAGTCCTTGTGGGGGGGGGGTATTGGGGACCTCCTCAAGAAAATCTTTAAAAATAGACTGTCGGAAATGCTGTCTGACAGTATTCAGATACCGAATGTACAGAGAAATAGAGTTCATCAGAAGCCGTCTGTAGCATGATCACTAGTCTTTTCGACCAAATACTTTTTTTTCGTTATTTTCTCAAATTATTGGGGGGAGGTGGAAGACAGAGGGCAGACCAGATTTATGCCCCCTCCCCTTGCCGCCACTCCTAGTCAGGATATACTCTTGAAAGCATTCAATACACCAATAAATTACAGACCAATGTTCTTGTTCACTTTTATGTCCCTTGAATCAGGGACCTAGCGATCGATATGTGTAGCAATAGTTACGTGGATTTTTTTGCTACGCTCTGTGGAAATAATCGTTGGAAAAAAGGAGTGTATATATTATTCCAGGTGCAACACGCCCAGGTGCAACACGACAATTACACCTAATGTATCTTTGTGATAATTATCAAAATCATGAAAAATCTTTGGGTTTTGTTCAGTTGAATTATGCGGAATTATGTGTTAATTAGTACGAGTATCACGACGCCAAATCGGCATATCATGATAGCTTAGCGCATAATATTGTTTACAGAATTTTTGTTATTATTTCCTGTCATATCAATGTATGATCTAATTCGTATTCGTCTTTAAACCGCTTCGACTGATATATGGATGGAGGTCGAAAACAGTAGAACAGGATGATTCGACTTATACTCCACATCAACTCTACTCCATAAAATACTATACTTAAGTCCAGATATTCTGTGAAATGCTCCAGCTATTATTTATGGTAGAGAGATATACAAAAACTAACCACGATCTAAAGCTTTAAAAACTTTTATTCCGTCATTTAAAAATTGGCACTCTATATAAAATAAATATGTATA